TCCCTCCCCGAAACCCAAGCCAGAATTCCTTCCTCCCAGACGAAGGTCATTCAACTGGAAAGGCAACTAGAACCCAAGCAAGGAGAGGCAGGGCGGGTCCCAGCAAGGAGGGGAAGCTGGAATGGCCGTTTCCTCCACCGTATGTCAAAAATATCCTCCAACAATGTCCCCCAATCCCTATTTCAGACAAAAGTGGGTCACAGGAACTTGGCTGCTTCCAACAAGAGGTTCCTGGGCAACCAGCCCTCCTCCTCACAATACTCGTTGAGCTAAAGCAACATTCTCACCGCAAATAGTGGGGAAACCGTTCAGTGTGGTGATCTTGCAGAGAGAGAGAGAGAGAGAGAGCAATAAAAACTATTTTACCCAATTGTTCTGATTAGTCCAAAAAAGTCTCACTTTACAATTAGTGCAACAAGGAACCCCTTACATTTCCCCACCTTTTCCTTTCCTGATCGCCAGTGACTGAATTCTCACATTCCACTGAAAACATGGTCTCCTGCACAGGTACTACAGTGGTCTGGTTCATATGGCTGGATAGATCAAAATCACAAGAGCTGGATTCACACAGCAAGCTCAGCCAAAACAAACCATGAACTAGAATTAGGAGCTTCCAGGAGGAATGACCCAGGTCTAGTTTTCTGCTCTCCTTCCTGTACTGGCTGTTGTGGTTGCTGCTTGTATGAACCCGAGTCACAAGGAAATTCTCGGAGGCCGAGCATCCTGCAGGAGGGAGACCAGCCAGTGTAACAGGCTGAACCACAGGCTCCCTTTGGGTGGGGAATCCCAGCTGCAGCCGGTGGGCTTTAAACTACCTTGCTGCTCACCTGCTCTTTCTCAAGAGACCACCTGCCAACCTGGGCCAGGACAAGGCATGTCCAGCGTGACTGAGAACCTGCAGGCCATAAGCATCCGGGACACTGTTTCTCAGCTAAAAGAACAAGCAAAGGTTCACCACCTGCCCAGGAGCCAGGACTTTCAAGGCCCCCGCTGGGCTCAGAGAAAGGAGGAAGGGTCTGTTTCTGCTCCAGCAGCCACACCAGTCTGAAAAGGCCAAAGAGGCTTTGCCTTCCCAGGAAAGCAGAAAGAGAACAGGTCGCCTTCAGCCAAAGCAAAGCCAAGCTTCCAAGTGTTCAGCACACACCAACCTGGCGCTTCCATGACAGCCATAGATGTGTGCTTCCCTTTGCAGGTAAATGCAGAAGGCAAAAGCTGGCAGGAAACAAGCAGCAGCCGAAGCCGAGCAAATTCTGGATACTTTTCTTGGGACCCCGACTGGCTGCCCAGCACCCCTGGAGCTCGTCCCTCTCCCCTCAAACGAGGCTAGGAGACCGTCTTCCGCACTGCTGCATTGGACCCCCTTCTGCTGCAAAGGGCCACCAGCCCAGGCCACGCGACCACTGCAGCCGCCGTCACCAAAGCGAGCTTCTGAGGCAGCACAGATGAGACACGGAGACATTTGCCATCCATTTCCACCGGGGGGGGGGGGGGGGGGGGGTCAGTGGCTCAGTCCTTCGGGCGGACAAAGAGGAGCTCGCCGGCTTTTGTGCAACAACCCACCTGAACAGCTTAGGTGGCCTTTGGGCTAACCCTACAAAAGGACCGCCTGGCCGTGCAAGCTGGTTCAGGAGGGAGAACAGTCCTCCATCTGGTCCTTCACTCTGAGAACTCTGAGTCTTTGGCAGCTCATCCGTCTGTCAAACGGGGTACTAATTAAACCGTCCTGATTGGCTTTTATCTGATTTCGGACAGGCTCAACGGATGCAATGGAGAACATGGCTGCAACGGACTTTCCTTCTATCAGCAGAAAGCTGGACAAAACTTCACAGTTCTCCAGGAACTCTGCCTGACTAGCTCTCCCCCCCCCCCACCGCCACACACACACACACACAGTAGCAGCACCTGCATGCAAACATTCGCCCTGGAAGAGGCAAGGCTCAAGAGAGATGCTGCACCTCATCCAGGTGCCGGTGCTGCTCGATCTTTGGGGCACTGCTACTGGGGGCAGGAAACGGTGGTCTATGACCTCCTGGAGAGGCGCATGGGGGGGGGGCACTTTTCACACCTTTTCCCTCTTGAAAAAGGTTCTTCCAGTACCTTCCCTGGTGCCCTTTGGGGCCAAGTGTTTTCCCAGAGGGAGTTAGGCCGAAAGCGCCCTAAGTACTTGATGTGTCAATCAGAGCATCAGCTGGGATCAGCAAAGCCTTCCCTTTCCTTTCCCTGCCTTCATAAAGGATGCCCGGAAAGCCATCCATAGAAATGCTCCAAAGGGTTAGTTGGAGGTCAAGTCAGGTCAAGGATAGAGGGAGCCATGCAATTAAAAAAATCCTCTGCAGGAACGTTGGGTTGCATTCCAAGGAGAGGACCAGCCCTCCACCCAACAGAACAGAAATGTCTCTTGGCTGCTTTACCTGCTGAAGCTTGTCTCTTGGTTGACAGAATGCCTAAGCATTGTAAAAAATGCCGCTGGCTCAGGTGCACTTGGAGGCTCCTTCCGCCTTGGCTGTTTCCATGAAAGCTGCGAAGGGAAGAAAGGCAGGCAGAGCAGAGCAGCAGAGGCCCAAATGCAGGGCCTGTCCAAGAAAGGCTGGCCTGGCTTTCAGGACCTGCTAGTAGCTAATGAAAACCAATCCATGCAATGCAGCTGACAAGGGACTCAGCCCAGCAGAGAATAAACTTGTTTACAAGGTCTGCCAGGCAAAGCCAAGTGAAGGCTGAAGCTGAAACTATTATGAGGATGATTTGTTAAATTTATTGGCCACCTATCTTGCCATGGGGCTACTCTAAGCAGCTTACCATTATTTTTATTCTCCCACCTCCCTGTTTTCGCCTCTTAGTAGGATTCTATTCCACCTTTGCTCTAGAATATCCTGTAAAGTGAAGAGAAGTATACTTGGTTAAGTAACCACAAAAACAGGTTTGCTTATAAAATGTTCCTACGTTGCCAGTAATAAGTAGAAGTTTGTTCTGTCTGGAATACGTCTGCCATCCACTTCCTTCCCTAACCTCTAAGTCACAGGCAAGTCTCAGTCAAACACAAAAGCATTTGCAACATTGTTTTGCCTAACTTGGCCTGAAGTGAGAGGCGGGCAGCCTCTCTAAAATCCATCATGCAGCTGCTTGGTCCCATATGTGCAAGGGGTGCTAGTCATCCACTATTACCGCGATACAAATAGAGCGAACTTGAGGGTCTGTTCCCAGATTCTGGTATTTAAAAGGACACCAATAATAACCATGGAATGGGGGGGGGGGGGGGGGGGGGGGGAGGCACCTATCCTCCAGGTGGGCTAGGAGGCTACGGCCCCAGAAGTTAGAGGATTTCTTACGCCTGGCACCCAGAGATACTGGTTGATAATAAAAAGAAAAATATAAACTATGGTGTTAGAAAAGAAAAGTGCAACCCTCCATGTTTGTAAGTATTCTTTAAAACTCATAGTGCTTGACGGCAGACGAAGCCAGACTTTTGCTCCCAGGACCACGAAAACTAGGATTGGGTGGCAGAGTTGCGGGAGAAACACACACACACACACACACACACACACACCCCCCAGTGCAATAGGAGAGGCAGCTCCCACTCCTCCCTCCCTCCGTGCCAGAAACGCGGCCTGGCTCAGCCCGTCCTACTTCACACGTTTTTCCACCTCAGGAGGAAGATGGAAGAATAGGTGTCCCTGGACAAAATCGAAGAAATAAATAAAACATCCCCTTGGGAGGACAGTCATTGTCGGGAGATGCTTCCATTCCAGGCCTGCCGTTGGGGGGGGGGGGGGGGGGGGGGGGGGGGGGGGGAACCCTTCCACGGGACAAACCCAGCCTCCTCGCCAAGCAAACTCCATCCCAGAGGCGCCTCAAGAGCACCAGAAGCTGCAGAGACGCAGCCAAGAAGCTTGCTTGCCACCCGGAGTGAAGTTGCAAGTTAGTAACGTTTGGTAACCAAGGCCAGAAATCGTTTTCTTTCTCATCCAATGTTGCAGCAGCCACTTCCAGTTTGGGCAGCTGGCGGAGCTGGGGGCGGGGGAGGTTTGCACTGGGATTTGCTCTTGAAAGCGCCTTGGAAGGAAGCCGCAGGAGCGCCTGGAACAGGCAGAACGCCAAGACTGGGAGCCGGTTGTATTTCACGCTGGCCAGAAAGCACCGGACTCCCCAGCACGCCCTTGTCCCTACCGAAGAACTCCGTTGCGTTTCTCATGTCCGGATGGCGCGATCCGAGCCCTGGATCTAGGCGGCTTCCCGGCCCTTCTGCACATCCCACTCATTGGAGCTGGCAATGCAGCTCAGCCGTTACCCCCGCACCGTCTCCACCGGCGCCTCCGGCCACCCGTCCAAAACCGGCGCGGCCAACTCCCCCCGGGTCCCAGGGCGACTCCGGCGCCTGGATTGCAGCGCCCAACGCCGCTCGCGCCCAACGTCGCCACCCACCCAGAGACCCGCTCGGAGCGGGGGGGGGGGGGGGCAGCGGGGCAAGGAAGAGCCGGGAGTCCCCGAGGCGGCTTCCCTCGGGCGGGCGCGCAAAACGGCTCACGCAGCGCCAGGCGAGTCCCAGCCCCCGCCGCCCCGGACCCCACTGCGGCGCTTCCCCCGGCCCGGCGCGGAAAAGGGGGCGGGCGGCGGAGCGAGTCGGGGGTCAGACGGGCAGCCGCAGCTCCCTCCGCCCGCCGGCCTCGGAACAAAGGAGGGCCGCCGCCGAGAGCCCCTGCCCGGCCTCCCCCCGACAGGGAGCAGCGGCGGCCCAGAGCCCGAGGCCAAGGATGCCGGGACCGTCCCGCCAAGCGGCTGCCCGCGACCCGGCGGAAGCGGACGGGCAGCGCAGTGCGGACCGTCCCGGCCGTCGGAGCGAGGCTTCGGCCCGAGAGGAACGGCGGCTGGGCTCCTCCCGCTGCCCGCAGCCATGACAGCCCGGCCGGCCGGCCCGAGAAGGCGGGGCCGCCCCGTTGGCTCCCCGGCCTCCGCCGGCCGCCCGGCCACGCGGGAGATCGCGCCGCCGCCGCCGCCCGCCTCACCTTTATAGCGCTCCAGCACGTCCTCGTAGGCCTGCACGAACTCCTTCTCCTGTCTGCGGTTGAGCGGCAGCTGGCCCGGCACGTAGCCGGCCATGGCGCTTCCCGGGCGGACGGGCCGGCCCGCGGCCGATGCCCAGCGCGGAGCCCGCGGACGGAGCTTCCCGGAAGACGGGCAGAGGAAACGGCCCGGTGCTCGGGTCAGCCACTGGAGCCCAACGCGGCGTCGGCGCCTCCCCGCCGGCTCCACGACCGGCTGTGTGGCTCCACCCGCCGCTGTCAGGAAGGCCCCGGCCGGCCCCGCTTGGCTGCTCGCCTCGCCCGGCCCGCCCCCCGACCCGCCAAGCGGCGGGGACGCCCGGCGGCCGGCTGGGGAACTGCGGGGCAGACTGCGCCCAGCCCCGCGAGGCCGGCGGCGGCGGCGGAGGAGCCGCGGTGGAGAGCCAGGCAGAGCGCGGCGGGCGGCTCGCGGCAGGCAGAGGCCGGGCCGAAGGCGGAGGAAGCGCGGCTGCTGCACCGGGGAGGCCCGCATTCCGCCCGAAGAAGCGGCGAGGGGGGAGAGCGGGGCGGGAGGGGGCAGGGGAGGCTCCCGCCTGATTTTAGCCGCAGGCGCTTCGTTCGCAGGCCGGGAGGCGAGCAGCGAAGGGAAGAAGGGCTTTGCCTCAGGAGGACACAACGCAGCTTCATTCAGGTTGGGACGAGACGCCTCGGCTCGACCCTTTGCTTTACAACAGCCCCCCCCCAAACTTGGCCACTTTAAGGCTTGTGGACTTCAGCAAAGCTGGCTGGAGAATTCTGGGAGTTGACGCGCACAAGTCTTAAAGTGGCCAAGTTTGGAGATCTGGTTTACAACTGCAGTTGGCAGGCTTCACATGTGACACCCTCAATCAAATCAAACATTTTACGAGGAAAAACCTTGTATAAACCCCCCCCTTCCCCCCCCCCCCACAGGTTAGGAGCCCCCCTCCATAGACCAAGAACCACCCAGTGGGTTAAGCTGTTGCCCCCTCTCCTGCCTCCCTTCCCAGTCGCCAAACCGCTCACTCACCCTCCCATGCAAGCCCGTCCCCTGCCTTTCTCCCAGATGTCCCCCACAGCCCGGTGTTGGCTTATCTTTTCAGCCTTCGGGCAACGGGGACACCAGCCTTTGATCTTGCCTGGCCTTCATCTGCCTGGATCCCAAATGGAGAAGCAAAGTGGAGTTGCCAGCCAAGAGTGCCTGCCTGTTTGAGGGGCAACTGTGCTGGCAAAAGGATTGCAGGCATCAAGCATTAATAGCGTGGCTCAATTTATTCTTGGCTTAAGAAAAATAATTGATGAACTCAGGCTACAAACCACGATTCAAGCATTGCTCGGTATAATATGTAGGCATTCATTCTTATCCTCCACATTCCGTCCACCTAATGACTCTTCCCGCCAAAATCGGCACTCCAAGAATCCAAACATCCACAGTTTGCTATACAGTAATGATCAAAAGTGGAAAGTAAAGTGGTGCATAGAAAGGGGATCATTTCATTTCACCACAAGTGTGAAATTTGTGCCCAGATGGTGATGGACCTTCTTAGCAAGAATATGCAGAAAATTTTTTGCAAGAGGCTGCAAAAGTGGAAAGGAGTTTGGGCGGCATCTGGTGGAGAAAATTGAGCATTGCAAGGATTATTATTTTTTAAATTTTAAAAAGAAAAGCACTCTTAAAGTTTGAGAAATGGGTGTGTATTGCAAAAATAGAAGAATTGGGGTCAAAGAAATGATGGTGGGGAGAGCAGTCTGTTTCAAATGAAAATAGTTGGGAATTAAAACACAGTTTAACAAGTAAAGCATGCCTGTTCAGCTCAGCGTTTCCATCCATAAAGGAAAAATATCTGTCTCAATAAAGGAGAATATTTGTAGCTCAAGGTTGACGTGAGGGGTCCTGGTTGGTTGTTTTCTTGCATGTGTTTCATTACCCTCACTAGGTAACATCTAACACTGATGTTATCTAATTTGAGTAATGAAACATCTGCAAAAAATAACCAAACTGGGAGAGCACCAAGGACTCTCAAGGATCTGCCCTTTTTCTCCAGCTGTGGCCTGAAACATGCTTAGCCAGTCATAATCCTAGCAACTACTGACACACAACACTAAGAAAACCCTCATTAAGATTTTTTTTAAAGCTTGGTTTAATTTTTGTGCGATCTCCTGAAAAGGGCTTATACAGTAACCCAGTTAAGAATTTGTTCAAGCCTTTGGCCCTAGTTGAAAAACAATCTTTAACTCTTTCATGGAGGAATTATATTGTGGAATATAAAACCCATAAAGGTGATCCAGTTAGTTACACTGGGGGCATTTCAGCCCCAAATAGGCCCATCTTGATGAAAGCTCCACCAGCCCCTCCCCCACCCTTCCCCAAGGGGGCATAAATGCCCACACAGAGATGACGAAGCTACAGTGGAATCCAGATGACTGGCATGGAGACAAAGTCCTAGAGCAGATCCACAGAAACTGAGGTAGGAAAGAAAGGATGAGCGGGGGGGGGCAGTCTACTCAGTTTCGGAAGGACAACTAATGAAAAAAATAGGAAATGTGGGAGGGAAGAACCGGGACCTTAGAAATGAGCCTGTAGAAAGTTAGCACCCACCCCTCTCCTAGAAGAATGAAATATTTTAGGAAATATTTAAAAAGGCAGGATAAAATATTTCCCCTAAAAGAGAAATAAATTTTTTAAAGGAAACAGAAACCCAGCTCCCAGCAGATATTTTGGTGCCCATTAAGAAAGACTGGGCCAGCCTATCTACAAGACAAAAGACCTTCAGCTCCAGGATGAGGGGATGAAGACAGGACCCCCAGGACATAATAGGATTAGCCCTCTACCATCTAGCAGCAGGGCTCACTGCATTTCAAAATGTCCTAAGGACATTGCATCAGCCCAAGGTTCAACCAAACTTGATTCAGACAAACATGACCCCACATGGCCCCACGGGAGTCTGACTATAGCCAATAGAATACATTTCTTGCACAGGAACAGGAAGCTCAAGGGCAAGGCCCAAGAGGAAGTATAAATAACCCCCTCTCTCTCTTAACTCTATGTGGTCACTACACCAGGACCATGTGCTGGATGGTTCTGCTCCATTAAACCATCTTTCTCCCCACATGGAACTGAACCAGATGGATGGTTCTTCCAACAAGCCCTTCACAGAAGCCCAGCCCTTCGGCGGGTGTCGTGGGCTGCCCAGACAAAGGAGAGGCCCTCTGGGGAGGGGGGCCAGTTCACTCCTGCTGCTGCTGCTCCTCTTTCATCACAGATCCATCAGAGTCTGGCGTTTCCTTCCAGGCTTTACAATAGCCACACATTCTGAGAGTGACACAGAGTGGGAGTGGGAGGGGGGGAGGAGGGGGAAGAAGTTGGAAAGCCCAGGTGATCTTCAGAGGGGCTACACTGTCAGCCAAAGCATTGGATTTGCAGGTTGTATGTCCCTCACACCAAATATGGAGATTTGACCCACAATCAATCAGTCTTCCTGCTCTGGATTGACAGGCAAAATCTGGTGACCCAACTCTGGCTGGCTTGGCATGATGCAGTGAACCCCAAGCTGACTCCTTGGTTTGGATTCGCATCCCTAGACTTGGCCTGGCCATTGCTTGGAGAGGCATCTTGGCCTCATCGGCCTTGAGCCCCAAAGCATCTCGAGGCAGCTCCCCTGTTTCCCAGGACCGGTGGGCAGTCTGCACCTACCAAGGGCTGCCAGCGTTTCTCGGGTTTGTAAGAATGACTTGCAATTAAAATCTCAGCTCAGCAATGACATTGTCATTTCAATCTTCTGCCCAGCTGAGATTTTCAGAAACGCTTGAATGTTGTTCTATGGGGGTTGGTCCCTTTCCAAGTGTCTTGTGCATCCTGCTTGGGAGGGGGACAGGCAGCATGGAGAGAAAGCACATGTGCGCGCGCACACACATTCACACACACTGCCTGTTACCACACCAACTGGCAGAATGATTACTCAGCCATCCGTGTTACCCTGGCAACCTGGACAGCAGCAGCTTTTCTCACAATCTCTCTCTGTCAAGCTGGCTCTTTCCGTTTTTTATGGCGCCCTCCACGATCCCCTTACCCATGCAGGAGGAAGGATGGCACAAAGAAGCCCCAGACCCTCTGCCGCTCCTCCTCACGAGGGAAAGGCCAGAGTGTTTATGTCCCTGTGGGCCCCAGAAATAACGGGCCCACCCTAGGATAAGAGGGGGCTTTTAAGAAGTGTCAGAACCAGGGGTCCTGGCCTGGGGGTGCAGGGGCAGCTCCTTCCATGCCTCTACACCTAATGAAGGACAATAGGGTGGGGCTTGGGTTATGATGTCACTAGAGTCATTTTGTCATTTTCATGGTCAGAAACAGATGGCTGCAGATGAGGTAATAGCCAAACCAGCTCTCTTCCTCCTAGCTGGCATTCAACCAATCAACCAATGGAACAGAAGTTGCCCTCGGAAGTTGTGGGAGCGCCATCACTTGAGAGTTTCCGCTTCCGCTCCGCCGCGGCCTCTTCCGCTCCGCCGCGGCCTCCGCTGCAGCTGTTTCCTGTTCCGACCACCGCCGCCGTTTCCGCCACCGCCGCATGGCCTCTTCGGCCTCCGCTGCCGCCGCGCGGCCTCTTCGGTCTTCTCCGTCGCCGCCGCCGCGGCCCCCGCTGGCAGCCGCCCCCGTCTGGGACGCCGCTGCCTCTTCTGCCGCTGAGGCCTTCCGCCGCCGCCGCGCGACCTCTGCTGCAGTCGCCTCCCCGTCCCGGCCGTCGCCGCCGCTGCCGCCTCCGCCGGTGCAGCTCTTCACCATTGTGGACTGGGTGCAGCCATTGGCTCTGCAGGTCTGCAGCCCCTTCGGGGTTGAGCATGGCTGGTGTTCGTTTCCATGATTCACTGAGTTGTTTGAGACTTTTCTTCATTCTCTCACTTTTGTTAATTAAAATTCTCTCTTCACCCCCCTCCTTCCCAGTGACTCTTGGGGATGGATCCGGTATTTAGGGGGTGGTGGGTGTCAGGCGTTGAACAAGGAGGTGCGCACCCACCATTAGAGTCCTTCCATGCACCCACCTCCAGGGTCTTTCCCCACCTGGGCTTGTCTCCCTTGACAGTAGCACTACACTCCCCAGGGGGGGCGAAAGCTAGGTAGGTGGGAGGTTGGATGTTCTTGTCCCAAGGGGGCCAGGAGAGCACAACGAGCCTCCAGCCTTAGGGTTCAGGCACCTCTGCCCTACCCCATGCAGGCAGTCACCAGACATGTTTATTCA